ACTTCTATTCAGAATACAAATCAATCCAATCAAAGAATATTGTGCATGTAAACAGCTATTGTCTGCCATGTTAACAGTAAGTTGGGAGAGCCACTCTAGTTTGATGCCTCTACGATAGTTCCCCCAAAAAGAGTAAAAAAACAAGTAAAATAAAAACTGAATGATCACTGAAGAACAAAACAAAAGCCCTAACTTACAAAATAATAATTAACAAAACACTTTACACAGTTGGTGAAGTCATTTTTTTAAAAATCGACACTGCTCAACCCTGGCCTCAACTTGTCAAGTGTGAACACACCCTTGTTGTTCCACTTTGACAAGTAAACACAGACTAGAACAAAGTCTAGCACCAACATATTCACCAGACACGATCTTTCTGCTCACTCGAGTCACTGAATGATGAGCGTTGAGCTCAGAGATCCAGATTAACCAGACTGTTCTGCTCCAACTCTGAAACAACCTTCTCTTCTTCTCTTCTTAATTCCAGCAATTTAAACAAGATTGAAAGCAGTACTTCTGTCATTGACCTACTTAGATTAGACTTAAGAGTAAGTGTTCACTTACTGTTTCTTAAAAACTTAATCGATATTATCTTATCTGCTTCCTTGTTAGCTTATGGATTAGATGGCTCAATTGATCTTTATGGAGTGTTTTACCAGGCCCTTGTTAACGTATTTTACACAATTATAACTAGAGAAATTGCATTTCCTGCAAAAATGTAGTGCGAATGTTGATTGCAGAAGAACTTGCTGAAAAACAGCTGAAATTGGCAACAACAACAAAAAAAACTTTGTAGATGAAATGAAAGAACAGAACAAGCCTAAATTAGCAGAAGAAAGAATAAAGAACATATATTTGTTGAATTAGGTTTAAATAAGCAGAAATGAGCACAAAAAATGTAAAAATTGCTAAAAAAAAAAAAGCTGAAATTAGCAAAAATAGCTGAAAAGGCAGAAAGTGGTTTAAATTACAAGAAGGCAGTAAAAAGCACATTTTTGCTGAATTAGGCTGAAAAAAGTTAAAATCATTGCAAAAAAATGTGGAATTAGCTGAAAAAAACTACAATTTGCATAACAGCTAAATAGTAGCTGAAATAACTTAAACTAGCTGAATTAAGCTCAAAGAGCATAACAAGCTGAAATTAGCAGAAATAATTTAATTAGGCTAAAAGTGGCAGAAATTAGCACAAAAACATTGGAAATTGTCTGAAAACAGCCGAAATTAACTAAAAAATGTTGAAGGTAAAACAAGCTTAAATTAGCAGAAAAAAGAAAACCATTTGGCTGAAAGAAGCAGAAATAAGAACAAAGAACTTGAAATTAACTGAAAAAATATTAAATTACCAAAAAGAAATGCTGAGAAGTAGCTGAAAAGCATAAAGATGCTTAAATTACCAGAAGGAAGTTGAGAGCACATTTTTTGCTGAATTAGGCTGAAAAAAGTTTTTATGAATGCAAAAAAAACTTGGAATTAACCAAAAAAGCTAAAATTAGCATAAAACAGCTAAATATTTCTTGAAATAGCAGAGAAAGCTGAAACTTGCATAAATAAGCAGAAAGTTAGAAGAAGCACAAAAATGCTGTAGTTAGCAGAAAGAAGCCAAAGGGATCACAAATAAGATGAAATTAGCTGAAAGTGGCTGAAAAAAAGCTTAAATTTGCACCAGGAATCTGAAAGAAGCTGAAGCAGAACAAAATGTGAAAGGAGCAGTAAAAGGTTGTAAACAGATCTAAAGATGTGAAGGATGGAAAATGAGCTCAATTCATTTTCTATAAGAAAAAAAATGGCAGAAAAGGCTAAATATTTCAAAAGGCCAAAGTCGCACCAATACTAAAAGTCATAGCACCATTCTCCTGAAGGAGCTGAACGTTTTGGTTTAAAATTTGTTGAAATAGCACAAAAAATGTGGAATGAGAAAGATACAAAAAAACTGAACATCAGTCATGTTCAGTTAAAAATTTAAAACATATATTTTTATTTGCAAAACTGAGACAAATTGAATAAAACTGGTGGTAATTTGAGAACAAAAAGGAAGTGTATGATGGATGTTTGCGGCTCACATCTGGAAGGTTTTAGGGTCTGGCAGCCCCCCTGGTCTTCTTTTTGCTGCATAAGACAGCAGCCACAAAAAGAGGACAAGCCACAATAAAGGCCTGACATGCTGCTAGCATCAACTCACACACAAAACAAACCGTTACATCATCAACACCAAGTCAGGCAGTTTGTGAAGACGCCATGAAAATCCACACTGAGCACATTGATGTGTATGTGCTGCCACAGTGTTTGGGAGCGTTCACCCAACACAAATCAATGAGCGAGACGATCAATGGTTACGGTTTGTTCATCAGTGGATCGTGTCCACTTGTTTACTGAACGCAGAGACACGCGGTGTCCTGCAGAGGACGAAAGGTAAGAAAGTGACAGATCTGCACACTCGTCACGATCCCTTATTTAGCACGGCTAAGAAAGTCCTCCACTGCTGCAGTCCAACACAAACAGGAGAACAGTCTTCACACGTGCACAGGCACCTTTCATGTTAAAATCACAGACACATTAATGACATGACTAAAACAAACAGAAGAATTCGTATTGTCAGCCGCCTTTTACACTTGAGATTAAAACTGGACTTATACTACACAAGAAGTGAACTCTGCTTTCTCTGACGTAGTTATGAGACCAAAATCCTGTCGTTTTGTTCACCTAGGAGCTCAGAGAGCCCGTTCTCAGCACAAGGTAGAACATTTTTGGTCAGTGCCGCAGTCTTGGAATCTTGAGGTTGCAAGTTCAAGCCCAGGTTGCGTCAGGAAGGGCATCAAAAATAACTGCCATATCTTTCATGTGAGTTTGCTTGCTGTGTGAGGCAAGAGAAGAGAAGGGAGCAGCTGAAAGAAACTTTAGTGAGGTGCTGTGAGCTGCTAATGAATCAGCGAGACAGCTAATCTCTCCTGACTCGACACTCATCAAAATCATGGCAGACATTCTGAAATAAGATGTTCTCTTTTTCAAACAGCTGAAAAATGGTGAGGTCCTGGAGATGTGGGGGTTTCTTTTAGAGTATAAAATAACCCTGCAGAAGAGAACTCTCTCAGCTACATGTGAGAGAGAGAGCAAATTTCTTAACTTCTCACTAGAGTTACATTCATACATGGGTCAACTTGACCCAATCAAATCAACTGTAATTACAGGCTAGAACTCAAAAAAAAAAGAAAAAGATTTTACTGCTTTTGTAAGCAAATCAGTTTGTCATGATATTTTAAAAACGTATTTCAAAGAAAGGAAGATATAAGATTTCTTGTTTTACCAAATGGAAATTAACATACAAAACAAATAACCTTAAAAAAAATCAACTCTAAAGATAGACTGTTATAGAGAAGAAAAAAAATATTTTTAGAGCAAAATTATTTGGAAAAATATAGAACAAGGCTATTTTAATTGAACAAGCGGCTCGCTTCGGATTTTGTAGCTTCAGATACTTCCTTCACCGCAGATGACAGCAGGTGCGGAGACTCGCGCGCGGCCGGTGATCGGCTGATCCATCTGAAGCTTAACTGGACATTTTTTTTATACCTCTTTCAACTGGCCAGTTGGACCTGCCTCCTCCTCAACAAGTACATTAACACAATTTTATATTGTGCATTCTTATTTAGTTTTCTTTGTGCTGTATGATTCGTAAAACCATATCAAAAGCCCGAGACAGACCCGCCCCGCACATCAAGCACATTATTTTGGCTTAGAAATCGCAGCTCTACTTCTCACCAAGTATAAATCCACCTTTAGATTAAGACTGTCTTTTGTTGAGAATTTATTAAGTTTTAGATTAAGACTGTCTTTTGCTGAGAATTTATTAGGTTGTAGTCATTTTTGAAGAACTTTGTAAACAAACTGAGCAAGCTCACGTCATGTTGTGAGCCTCGTTAGCGCTCCATGTGATGAGAATGATTCTCAGCTACGACCACAACTAATTTTAGCTCAATATTGTCAACTGGCTAAGTCAAAGACATTTTTATGTTTGTTTGGGTAAGTTAGCTGTGACGGCCATCTTCTTTTTTTTTCATTCAACCTTTACTTATGCAGGTTGATCTTCATTTACAAGAGACCTGATCTTACAGGTTAGCCAGCTGAAGATGTACACTTCATTATTTTTCCTGAATGTATGAGCAATTTTTTTCAGTGACTCATGAAACATTTTGCTAACAAAAACAATTCAACACACTCACTGGCAAATACAATATTGCCTTCTCCTTTTGGTGATAAATAATCCACTTGTCAACAAAAGTACTGTGAAAAACAGCCTAAAAGACAAAAACTGTATTATATTTTGAATATGTAGTAGATTTTTTTGGCCTAACATTAAGACTTCTTTAGTCTAATTTAAAATATTTACCAGGTAAAACAACAATACTGTAATAATTTCATCAAAGTGCTTTCAGACTGCATTTCAGGCAGGTTTAGCTAACAGTGGGACATAATTAGGTGAAACTTTAATTAACTTTGGAAGCATATCAACCTTTGTTTGTCCCTAAAGCAACAACACAGTTGTCTTCTGTACCGAGCTTGTAAAACACGTAGTTTTGTTTGTTGTAGGAAAAAAAAAAAACGATATCTCTTTTATGTTGATGACAAACTGAAACTCTTTGTTTGGGTCTGACGTTCCCCACACTGGATGATGAAACACAAATAAAAGTCCTCTACATACTCATTTTAAAACCAATGAAACTTGCCTACAAGTAAAAATGCAGCCTTCTAAATCATTACCATGTTTCAAGGCGTTATTTTTGCTTTAACTTAGCAGAAAAAGACCAGAGAACTGTTGGCTAACTACAAAGGTGTGTCTGTGTAAAAACCCAAACGGGACTGATCTTGTTTCCTCCAGTGCTGAGCTAACGCTAACAAAAGCTCATTTCTCATTTTATACCGTCACAAGAAGACCTGAAATCCAGTAAGGCTTGAGAAAAACATCCCACAAACCAATACGAAGGCAAGCAATAATGAAAACTCACCCTCTAAAAGCCTGGAAATCAACGAGTCGACATCCAACTCCCCCTCCGCCATTGCTGAGACGAACAGCAGTGCCCGCGCCGCAGTGACAAGGCAGAGAGGACACGCCTCGACAAAACAAGCCCCGCCCATAAACTGACACTGTGCTGCATTCAGGACTACTCGGAGATTTTAGTTTTTAGCTAAATGAAACATGAAGGGGCTTTTATGCTAAACAATCAACTGGCAGCCTCAGTTATGAATAGAGTAGTTAGTGACATTGAATTATTGATCCATTTAAAAAGATACCCGTCTAAAAAGATAAAAAGTTAAGAAGTTTTTACATTTCGTTGTGCAACGTGTGTGCAATGACATTGAAGGCATATTCTATTAATGTATATTGTGTCAACAAATAAAAAACAACACATAACCTCATTTAAAAGGCACTCTTTAGTCAGTCGACGTCATCTCATTCCTGTAACTCAATGTTCAGTCAGTGCCTGCTGCCTGTCTGTGACGACTATAAAACAATATTTTCATACAAACTCAGGTAAAAACAAAATAATGATGTGACTTGTCCTAATGCATGACGTGTGAAAGGAAACGAGTGGCAAACGACACCTTGTCCTCTTGTTTTCTATTGAAACACGAGGACAAAATCCTTAACAGTGCCAATAGAATAAGAGTAATTAATTGTTATTAGTTTATTTTGAGTTCCTAATAAAGTTACAGTGAATATCAATATCAGAAGCTATGAACGTAGTACTGGACATTTGCAACTACAGTAATTAAATATAATACTAATAAAACGGTTTATTGTAAATAATCAGATTATATCAAAATACCGCCTGCTCAAGATTTCATATCAGGAATAATCTCCACCTGGACATACAAAACTCTCTCGCTTTCTCCATTTTTAAACACCGCATCAAAACTCTCCTCTTGCACTACTTGTATTTAAATTGTATGATGTATGGTATTTATACTGTATTGTTATTTTTTGTAATTTTTTCCTTTTGTTGTTTTGCTTTTTGACTGCATTTTTATTGTACGATGCCCTTGAGTGCCTTGAAAGTCAATTTCAAATACAATGTATTATTCCATCCATCCATTATCTTTACCCGCTTATTCCATTTTTGGGTCACGGGGGTCGCTGGTGCCCATGTCCAGTAGTCACTGTGCAAGGGGTGGGGTACACCCTGGACGGGTCGCAAGTCCATCACAGAGACACATAGAGACAAACAAGACAAACAACCATTCACGCTCTCACTCACACCTAGGGACAATTTAGAGTTACAATGTATTATTATTATTATTGTTAACTGTTACTATATTTTACAGTCTATAAGCCAACTGTATGTGTACATTTATGAATATGTGCGTTAGGAAAATATCATATATATATATATAACCTGGCTCAACAAATCTGTACTGAATAATGACCTGGTAATCAATGGATTTAACATCTACCGCTGTGATCGTCAAAAAAAAAAAAAAAAGGGGGGGGGGGGAGTTGCTATTTACATCAGAGATTCTCTGGTGGCTGGTGTCTTCTAAAACAATTCCAAACCAAATGGCAGGAGATTTCAACATTGACTGGGGTAAGTCGACCCCCTTCTGTGATAAATTCAAGGAATGTTGCCTGTCTCTCAATCCAACCCAACTCACTGACTCTCCCACTAGACTAAACAAAAACCGTCCTGAAAAGTCTTCCATCTAAGACCTGTTTCTAACAAATATGCCTCACAAATTCCCTAGTACAGGTGTATTCGCTGACATTTTGAGTGATCATTGTGTGGCAGTGACTCTGAGAGATATTAAACTTCCACCTTCTAAGCCCAGATTAATCAAAAAAAGGGATCTGAAACGTTTTTGTGAACAGTCATTCCTCTGGGATCTGTCTCACTTTGACTGGCATCGTATTCTGTTAACTGATGACGTGAACTCCGCTTGGAACTATTTCCATAATAGTTTCATTTATTTTGTGAACAAACATGTTCCTTTTCATCAGTTCAGAATAAAGGGATGAGACAGCCCCTGGTTTACTCCAGAGCTAGCTGACCTCCTGCACAGGAGAGATCATATTTGGGCCACAGCGAGAAAATCTGACTCAGACACTGATTGGTTGAGTTTTCGACAGATGAGGAATAAATGCACAACTGCTGTTAAAGCAGCAAAACGCAACTATTTCTTATCTCAGACCTCCAAAAATCTAAATGACCCTAACAGATTCTGGAAAACCATCAAATCTCTCTCAGGCACCCCCCAATCATCTGACCTCCCATCACAACTTCTCGTTAACTCTGTTCCTGTGTCAAATAAGCACGAGATCCTGAACTGTTTCAACAAACATTTTGTTGCTTCTGGTTCTTTATTTGACACAGTAACTAATGGAAAATCAGCCACTTCACTTAATAACCAAACTTCTACAAATCAAATCCCTCCTACAAGTCAATCCTCAGTTAATCACAGCTTCTCTTTTCTCCGTTCTCAGTCAGTGAGGTCAATAAACTGTTAAAAGATCTTGACCCTAAAAAATCTGCAGGTCCAGATGAACTTCCACCTTATTTCTTAAGGCTGGCTGCTCATATCATCACAGTCCCTGTGACCCACATCTTCAATCTTAAACCAAAACTCCATCCCAGACACTTGGAAAACAGCCTTTGTTCTTCCTTTGCTGAAGGGAGGTGACCCCACCTCACTGAACAACTATCGACCAATCTCTAAACTCTGCATTTTAGCCAAGGTTCTAGAAAAACTGATAAACTCTCAAATCAAAGATTACCTGGACTCATTTAACATCTTACCTCTCCATCAATCTGGTTTCAGGAAACAACACAGCACAACCACTGCTTCACTGAAGGTTCTTAATGACGTTGTTGAAGCACTGGATGCTAAGGATTATTGTGCTGCACTTTTCTTAGACCTGTCTAAAGCTTTTGACACTGTGGATCAGAACATCTTGTGTCATAAACTCTCAGAAATCGGTTTCTCAGATCACACTATTGGTTGGTTCTCTAACTATCTTTCAGACCGGAGGCAATGTGTTCAACATAATGGGACTTCCTCCAGTTATTTAACAATCAACAATGGTGTACCACAAGGCTCAGTCTTAGGACCCACCCTCTTTACAATCTAAATACGTAATGTTGATAAAAACATCCCTGATGCATCCATATATTTCTATGCTGATGACACAGTTGTTTATTGTTAAGCTAAAACAGTTGCTAAGGCTTTCCAGCTTTTGCAATCCGCATTTGACATCATGCAGTCAGATTTGTTCCACCTCAAACTTGTCCTAAATGCCGACAAAACCAAAGGGATGCTTTTTTCAAATAGGAAGTTGGTCCCAGCAGTTTTTCCTCTGATCTCATCCTCAAATGGTGTCCCCATTGAGTTTGTTGATTCCTATAAATATTTGGGTATCTTGGTCGACTCGCATCTCTCTTGTCAGCTCCATGTGGAAAACATGGTAAAGAAACTGAAAGTTAAACTGGGTTTCTTTTTCAGAAATAGATCCTGTCTAACCCTGAATGCTAGAAAACGCCTTGTATCTGTGACTTTCCTTCCCTCCATTGATTTTGGTGATATTATTTACATGAACGCTCCTACAAGCACCCTGCAGATGTTGGATGCTGTCTATCATGGTGCACTAAGATTCATAACTGGCTGTGATTATCGTACCCACCACAGCACCCTGTATTCACTGGTTAACTGGACATCATTAACTTCACACAGACTCTCTCACTGGTACATTTTCATCTTTAAATCACTTATTGGTCTGCTGCCTTCATACATCTCCTCCTACATGTCTCTGCGTGAGTGCAGCTACAGCGTGCACTCTCAGGACATTATTACCTGCAGTGTTCCCTCAGTGAGGACTGAACTAGGCAAAAGGGCCTTCTCCTACTCCGCTCCTGTTTCCTGGAATATCTTACAAAAAGATCTGAAGCTCTCGACCTTGACCTCTCTAAGTGACTTTAAGAATCTGTTGGACTCCTGGCAGGGACCAATGCAGACATGTTCCTGTTTTTAGTTTTTTACATTCGCCTTAGAATCTAGCTGCTTTTTGTTACTTTTCTTTTCTCTTTACTTTTCTTTTTTTTTTTTTTTGCCATACTATTTGTTAAAAAAAATAAAATAATTGTATGACTTTTTATAACTGTTTATTGTTGTCATCTTTCTTTGTTGAAATCAGGTCTCTCTTGTAAATGAGTCCTCGAGGCTCAATGGGATTTTCCTGTCTAAATAAAGGTTGAATTAATTAAGTTTTCATGTGGAGAAAATCTGTTCACCTATAAAAAAATGTTCACATATAGCGCTCCCTCCTGGTCTACTGTTAGAAGTAGAAAAGTGAAGTCAACTAACTTAACTTTTTTGTGATTTATATTTTTCTTTTTTATGGGATTGATTGTTAATAAAATCGCAGGAACCCCCGTTAATGTTAAAAAAAATACAAATATTATTAAATAACAGTAAGCTCATTGCATTGTCAATAATGTTTAGGACAGAGTTGTCGATCTGTGTTGATCACATGTTGATGTTGATCACACTGGTTAGTCGTCATATTTATTATCTGCATCGTTTTTATGTCTATATTCTGATTTACCTCATTTTGTATATTGCTTTGTGTGTTGCCTGTTTTTCTGTCTGTACAGCACTTTGGTTGGCCTTGTCGCTGTTTTAAGTGCTCTATAAATAAAATGGTATGGTATCTGTTATGATAAAAAGTTGTAATTTAGGTCAGCAGCTGTTAAAGTCGCTCAGATCCTGGTGGATGGTCAACTTAAAGGAAGAGAAAGCCCTGAGAAGAGACTTTTCCAGAGGTGGACACAGTCTGCCTCACAAGCTTTTATACTTTTAGTTCTCCCACTCAAAACTTAGTTTTTTCCTTGAAAGTGCGTCATCAGGGTATTTCCGCACTGCTTTGCGTGGGTGGCGGCCAGAGGCGCTGCGAAGAAAAATCAGAGCGGAGGCCACGTTAAGTTAAACCAGGACAGCACCGGAAATAGTAGGTCAGCCTTCAAAATAAAAGCACATACCCCAAAATGTTGCTGACCAGTACGCATGTCCATGGCTTCGACTTACACAGTGGTGTAGAGGTTAATACGGTTGGC